TGCTGGGACAATGATGACAGAACATTTAAACACTGACTCTCATCTGTATTTTGGGGTGTTAAGTATTTGGAATTTTAACTTATTCTATGCACAGCACAAGTCCACTCCCATGGGCACAGATCATTCCCCAAAAGACATGAAAGAAGCCAGCACCCCCAGGAATGATCCAGGGGTAGGCCTCTGCCAAGGGGATATGGGCAGGGCATTGATACTATCTGGTATATGAATCCACAGATTTAGCTGAAGGCTATATATTAGAGACCTTCAGAACTGGCTCATATTTTAGAATTCAGTTATATTTGCATTGTCTTCATGCATGATAGCTGTACCTCTTCAACTTCCTAGAGTCACAGACTAAATTTTTTAACATCCAGGACTGATGGGCACACAGCAGACACTTACTACCACACAACTGATAACTGTCAAAGTGGCATATCAGTGCCTTCAGTGCTCATCAAAACCTGGATCCAAGCCATTCTGAACAGCAAAGGACCTGCCTCAGTCCATAGTGACCCAGGGAGATGGTGGCTCTGAGCCATCTCACAATTATGAATTCCACCATTTTCTTTGATCTACAGATGGACAACCAAGCAAGAAGAGTGCTCAATCAAGCAACTGAGCCTCGCATAGAAGAGTGCTTAGGAACATTAAAAGGCTTCTGGGTATGATGGCATGTGCTTATAAACTAAGCACTCTGGGAGGCTGAGGCAGGAAGATCACAAGTTCAAGCCCAGCTCAGCCAACTTAGTGTGAGACTGTGACTCAAAAACTTTAAAAAATGGCTTGGAAGGTAGCTCAGTACAAATGGCATTGGTTCAATCCCCAGTACTGCAAAAGAAAAAAAAAACTTGAAAAACAATGTAATATAGATGCTAACCATTCAGAACTCTGGAGCCAGAGAGCCTGAGTTTGACCCACAATTCTGCAGTTCATCTTAACTATCTGTCCTAGGGCAAACTGCTTACATACCCGGTGCTCGTTTCCTCATCTATAGAATGACTGAATAACAGTGACTATTTCAAAGGGGTTTGGGGCATGCTTTTACAGGAGTTAGACTTTTATAGGTACTTAGAACAGCGGTTTGCATGTAGCAAGTGCTCTCAAAGAGATCATTAAATAACATGAACCAATACTCTTACTGGAGTTCTGAGAGGCAAGGAACCCCTAATTAACCCTTTTGAGATCCCAAAACACTTAATTGAGGAAAACCTCGCCTTTGTGAATCTTTTGTTGTTATTCTTTTTTTTTTTACATATATACTAAGCTTTACAACAACTCCCATGTTGGGAAGATGAGGAAACACAGGCTCACACTGGTTAAGGGGCAATCAAGATCACAAGCATAGCAGGCGAGAGGCAAGGGGGAAGATTTCTAGCCCCAGATCTCTCCAGCTTTCTATTGGAGCATGCTGCCAACACCAATGTGTTCACCAATTCTTTTAAGCCAATGGTTGAACCCTTGAGGGTGTCTTGGCATCACCTGAAGAACTAGCTTGCTGTCTTTCTCCTGGAGTTTTTTATTCAGCAGTGACAGTAGGCACTAGAATCTGCACTTCTGATTAAACTCTAAGGTGATGTTAATGCTACTTGCCTGGCAGCCACACTTTCAAGAACTGCTCTTTTAAGGAACCAATTCACCAATGCTATAGCTTGGATCTGGAGGCCAAAAGTCCCTGTGTTAAAAGCTCAGTACCCAAGTTGGTGCTGTTGGAGGGTGGAGGAAACATTTAAGACAGAAGGTCTGGTGGGAAGTTTTATGTCATTGGGGGTGGGGGTCCCATGGTGAGAAATGTGGAACACCAAACATGGAATGAAACTTCAAAAAATATGAGCTAAAATAAAAATTTTCTCTAAGTTGATTATCTCAGGTATTTAGTTTCAATAATGGAAAGGTTGCTAACACAGGAAGATGGAGGGAAAAATAACATTCATATGCCTTAAGTGACCACTCAGCTTTCCTCTACTTAGGTTTGCTTCACAGCACCAGACTTTCCTATTTATCTACCTCTGTTTTCATCATTTTTAGATAATTCTCAAAAGACTTATTTCTAATGACCAGCTTTCATTCTGATGAAAATTTTTCTTTGTGTTCCACTACTACTATGGTGGAAAAAAAAGCACTGAAACGTGAGACCAAAGATCTGGCATCTTGTCTGGGCTCCACCACTTCCTAACCAATAATGTGCCTGGGGACATTTACTCATCAGTAGACACAGTTGATTTTTGTCCTGCCAATTCCACGGTGATGTTTTAATGCCCCAAGGAGATGATGTGTGTGAGCATAATTTACACAAATGTCACAAGGCCCCAAGATAATTTATATATCATGTATATATAAATTTATATATTACATCATATATGTATCAGGAAGCACATTCTGTTCTTGTTTATGTCTTCCACCAGTTGCATAAATAGCAGTTCTCAAGTTGTGGTCCTTAAACCAGTTTCATCAGCATCACCTAAGAGTATATTAGAGATGTCAGTTTTCAGGTCTTGCTCCAGATCTACTAAATCACAAATCCTGGGGCAAGCCTTCCCCTGCAGTGATCTGTGTTTCAACAAGGCTTCCAGGTAATTCTAAGGCTTACTCATGTTTGATAATCCTGGTTGTGTGGCTGAAAACACAAAACCTAGAGCCAGATTCCCGGGTCAAATCCTAGCTCTGTCACTTGCCAGGGCTAACAACCTTGGACAAATAACTTACCTTGCTGAGCCTCTGCTTCCTGATTTGGAAAATGGGGATAATTCTACGATCTTCCCTTCAAAGATTTGGTTGAGAAGATTAATCGTACACCAGTGGAAAGCAGGTAGGGACCCAGCACACTGTCCATCATCAGTACACGTTGAGTTTTTATTGTTTCTTTTTAAATTGTATTTATTTATTTATTATTGTTTCTTTTTTAAAAAGAGTAATGGCTTATTGACAACAAGGCCTTGTGCCTACTATTTGAAGATTGGGCAATTGCGTTTAGCCTGTTGAGAAGATTCTCATTTAGTCTGCATGGATATGTGTATTTGTAAGTGTATATGTTTATGCTGTTATTGTTTGCTCCTAGCAGATTTTGGTTTCATCCAAAGAAGATTCCTTGGTCCTGTCACCTTCTTTTGAATAAGAAAGGGATTTTTCTGTGTGTCTTTTAAAATAACATTCATTTCACAGTCTAATGCCTAATAATCATTCTTTATATTTGTATAGTGCAGTGTTCTTTTAGCAGTTGTACCCATAGAAATTGCAGGGCTAGGATTGTTGTCCTTTTTACTGCCTTCTTTATGTAGCTTAATTTGTTCATAAGTATCTAAAGCTTCCATTTTCTGAAAATATCATGCAGCTTCATTTGGCTGATTCTGTAACACCTTTCAATTTCCATATAGAAATTCCTTCAAGTAAATACTTTGGAAAACAAATCCACATTTATTTGGTCAATTGATTTTTGGGCAAAGTAGCCAAAACTACTCAAAGGGGAAAGGACAGTCTTCACAATAAATGTTACAGGGAAATACACAGGTACAAGAGTAGAATTGGACCTTTATACCATATATAAAAATTAACTTGAAATTGATCAAGGGGCTTGGCCATAAGATCTAAGGCTATAAAAAAGTTAGAAAAAAATGTAGGAGAATATCTTCATGACAGTGGGTCTAGTAATGATTTCTAGGCTCATAACCAAAGCACAGACAACAGAAGTAAAAGCTTATAAACTGGAATTCATTAAAATTTTAAAAACATATGAATAAAAAGAATACTACTAAGAAAATGAAAAACTGGTGCACAGAATGGAAGAAAATATTTTCAAATCATGTATCTTGATAATGGATTAATATCCAGTGTATATAAAGAACCCCTAGGGCCAGCCAGATAGCTCAGTGAATTAAAAGCACCTGCTTAGGCAGATGCAGGGACCCAGGTTCGATCTTCAGCATGCTATGCCAGTCACAGCCCTGGACACACTGAGATGGTGATTGAGACTGGGCTTGGGGGCGCATGCCAGTAATCTCAGCACTTGGGAGGCTGAAAACAGGAGGATCACCATGAGTCCAATCTGTGTAGTGAGACCCTGTAGACCTTGTACTAAATACTTAAAACAATAAAAATAAAAAAGAACCCCTAAAAGAAGTAACAACAAAAACAATTCAATTTAAAAACCTAGACACTTCTCCAAAGATATACAAATGGCCAACAAGCACATGAAAAGATACTGATGTCACTGATCACTAAGAACACAAAAATCAAAACCACAAGAGATGCCACTTCATACCTACCAACAAAACAAAAGTAAATAAAAGTGTTGTCAAGGATGTGGAGAAAGTGGAATCTTTATGCCTTGCTTGCAGGAATGCAAAATAGCATGGACACTGTGGAAAATATTTGGCACTTCCTCAAAAAGTTAAACACAGAATTACCATTTGACCCAGCAATTCCACTCCTAAATATATACCTTAAGAACTGAAAGCAGTGAACCAAACAGATATTTGTACATAGTGACATTGTTCACAACACCCAAAAAGTGGAAATAACTTGAATGTTCATTGATTGATTAATGGATAAACAAAATGGGATATATGAAATGGAATATTATTAGCTTAGAAAAGAAAGAAGTTCTGATCCATAGTTACCACATAGAAGAACTATGAAAACATTATGTTAAGTGGAGTAAATCAGATACAAAAAAAGATATTTACAGTCCCACTTACATGAGTTACCTGGAATAGGGAAATTCATAAAGACAAAAAGAATAGAGGTTGTGGGATGAGGTAGGAAGTTATTATTTAATGGGTAGAGTTTCTAACTGGGATGATGAAAACATTTTAGAAATAGTAGTGGTGGTTGCACAAAATTGTGATTATACTTAAATGCTAACAAAGTGTGCATACAAAGTGGTTAAAATGGTAAATATGCTGTGTATATTTTACCATGTTAGAAACAATCCTAAACAAACACAAAAAACCCACGTACACACAAACAGATGAAGAAAAAAAAACTGAGGCAAACAGGTACTTTACCTTCCAGGGATGTAACCAGGACGACATGAAGACAAATGAGGACAAAGAATATTTTGAATGACAGTAACACTTCTTCAGGTCTGCCAAGATGTCTGCACTGCCCACCAGACAAAAACATTCTGGAATAAAACATGGGGACAAGAGATCATCACAGATGTGATAATCACAACACAGTAATACTTGAAAACTCATTTCTTGGCCAAGGCAAGCTGCCATTCTGCTTCCTTTAAATTACTCCCATGACTCCATAGAATCAGCAATGCCAGGTGGGCACTAGGTATAAAATGCAAAATCTATGTTTCCCAGTATTAAGTGAGGGCCACCCAGCAGGATACTATATTTTACATGATAAACAAGGTAGTCCATGTGAATTTGTAGAAAATACCAACACGTAACAAATATTGAGAAGAAATTAAAAACAAAAGTGCTACATATATAATTAGCAGCACTATATAAAGGTTGGGTAAAAACTATGCTAAGAATTAGAAGAAGGTCACAGAATTTTCCAAGTAATCCACCCTATGTATGCCTCATACTGTGAAAGGAGAGGTACATTGCACTTTCCCTTTTTTTGCATCTTATTCTATTGTTGCTTGAATTTTTAGTAGTTGATGAGTCAACATTTTTAAAAAAGCAAAGTTGATAACAGAATGGAATTTAAATGCCTCATTTACCATTCACTTATGTATTCATTCAACAAATATTTATTGAGAGCCCATGTATGCCAGATGAGATGTGAGGACAGAGCAGGCATTAACTAGAAAGAAATACATGTGGTAGAGGTGGGATAGGACTTGGAACAAACTCGGCATAGAGGACTGCAAAGGCTAAGGCTGCATCTGTTCCACTCTGGTGGAGGAGTTGGCCAGAGCAACTTCATGAAGGGCCATCAGCACCCAGAGCACTGAGGGGGCTGGTGTAGGGTGCTGAGAGAGGAAACAACACGCCACTCACAGCCTTCAGGCATGGTCAGCGATGATATGAGAGTACTGGAGCCATATTCCTTCTACACAGCAGGAGGGCTGTAACAGATCAGACTGTGCGCTCTCAGCTAATAGGGATCCTAGTCAAATGGATGAATCTAACCACACTGCAACCTTCCAGCCTGGGACAGAGTATGCATACAGTGTGAGTTCAAAGGTCCCAGCTCTGCCACGTAATGTGACTCTGAACAAGTAATTTCCAATGGCCAAATTCTGCCATTTAGCAAGTTAAGATGTTAGAATCATCCTGATAGTACTGTTATGATGACGAGTAAATGAGATGTTGGCTGGCATTGCAAATGCACTATCACGGTCATTTCTACTCTTCATTCATTCACGTATTCACTCAGCAATCCTCTATTTTGAACCTAGTATGTGCAAGGTCAGGCAGTACAGGGACTAAGGTGAGGGCAGGGAAAGAACAAGAAAAATGAACCACAATTACTCAGTCTCAAGTTAAAGTTGGCAATCTAAGAATCCTGTCATTACCCAGGAGTGGTGATACACACCTATTATCCCAGCACTTAGGATGCTAAAGCAAGTGGATTGCTGCAAGTTCAAGGCCAGCCTGGGCTACAAAGTGAGCTCAACTGTCTGGCAGGTACAAGGTCATGAGTTCGATTCTCAATACCAATAAAAAGAGTGAGTTCAAGGCCAGCCTGAACTGCATTGTGAGGCCCTGTCTTAAAAAGACAAAAAAAAAATCCTATCTTTTAGCAGTCACAACTAACACCAGGAGAATGATTCTTACTTGACATGGTGTGACAATGTCTCAGACCAACAGGTAAATTCTTCTTCAAAAGAAGGCTTACATTTAAAAGTGAGTAAATTGTTTTCTATATTAATAGAATATGCTCATAAATTATCGAAGGCCTCTGACTTGTCCCTCCTCTTAAACACTTATCTTCTCTCTATTCAAAATGGTACATTATTGATCTTCCCAAATGAGTCACTCAAACAAGAATGTTAACACAGTGTGCAAAGATATGTCAGTGTCTCCCTGGAGGCAAAGTGTGTCTGCCACAGCTACACATAACAATACTATGAGTCTTAGAGGCCTAAGATTAGCCAGGGAAACACTACATAAAAGAACACACTTATATGTCATTCCGTTCATATGAGAAAGAGAAACAGGCAAAATCAGTGCAACAAGAAGTCAGGAAAGTGGTTATCTTTGGAAGGGAGGGGATTATAATAATCATAGAAGTTGACACAATGGGGGATTTCTGAGGTACATGTAACATTCTGTGTGCAACTTGCATGGGTGTGTTCAGTTCCTCAAATTCACTGAGTTATACATTTACATGTGTCATCAGAAGTTTTAAGAAAATTTTAAAAAATTAATATCTATTTTGAGTTTCCAAACCCTTTTACATCTCCAAAACCATGCCCGTGCACCTGAGGCCCAGCCTGTTCTAGTACTGTACTTTTAAAAATGCCATTATTTAGTGAATTAAAGGTCTACAAAAACTCTTCTATACAAATACTTTAAACTCTGCTCTACCAGGATTTGGTAGAGTTGACTTAGAAGATTTAATGCACAAGTACCTAATTTTAGCTCTGAGAAAAGTGTCAGAGCTATTTATATCTGGAAAGGACCTCAGAATCCACTTGGCCTCACGCTCACATTCTGTAGATGAAGGGAAGAAGCCAAGTATGCTTTAGGGGATGGATTACGTGGCTATTTTGCACATCCTAATCTTTCTACCAGGCCAAAATACCAGACTCCTAAGAATCTGTCACCTTTTAAGTAAAAGCTTTCAGTTCATTTGGTGGAATTATCCAGCAAATTCAGAACACTGTTTACACAATTTCAGAATTTCTGCAAACTTATTCTTTGCCAACTCCTGGAACATGACTAAAGTGGTATCCAAATTAAATTAATATACACAGTGGCTGGTTATTATGTGCTGTGACTTGGGCCTCTGATCAAAATAAGCCATACCTTTACACTAAACAGAGCAGGTACTCTACTCCCAAAAGAGGGTAGGAAAGGCCAGAATGAAAGATGAGCCCAGAAATCAACTTACAAAGAGAATACAGATCCAAAATTTACTAAAGACTGGGTGCCACTAAAAAGATTGCTTTCAGTTGTCAAGTTAAATATATTTCCTCAAGGCTAAAAATATATTTGAAAATGAAGGAAGATCTATAACACTTGAAATAATGTAGCACCTATTGCTTTCTACATAAACTGAGACTATCTTGCTAGGTCACAAGGTCTCTGGGTTACTGATCAAAAATGAAATCTGTAGACTTTGAAACCCTTACTTACTTCATCTTTTTCAGCTGTACTATTTCCTAATCTTTTGGTACAATTTAGGTTAGTTCAATGCAATGTAGGTCATCAACAAAGATGATCTGAATGGCTATTAATTCTTAGCAATATGTAAGGCCCTGGGAATGGGTAGGAAGATAGCATCAAATACGAAGAAAACCATGGAAACCTCTAGGTTTTTTTTCTTGCATTCTTAATTTAATAAAATTTTAAAAAGCATAGGGACAGGGATTGTTCTTTTTTCCCATAATTTTATTGAGAAACAAATAGCAATGAGACAGTTTCAAACCAACTGGTAGGACAGTTTCAATAATTAACACATTGTATACATTCTTCCTAGTGGTTAATTGCTGTACAAGACGTGGACATGATATCCCATTTACAAACACCATTAGAACAAATCCCTCTATTCATTAAGAGAATGTAACTATATATCTATCCTAACCACTCTGAATACCCAGATACAAAATGGACATTCATCTGTATCCCCTTTTTTGTTTAATTCCGTCATTTGAATATTATAGGTGTGTTAACTAAGCAAAATATTCTAAAAGAGTCCAGTAGTCCATAATAGTATTGGGTCTTCTGCTTGACTGGCAATGTCAGAAACTGTTGACCTGAGTCCCCTACAGCTCAACGTAACAGCTAGGTTTGTAAAATACACAAACTGTGCACCAGTACCCTGCTCAAGATAGTCTTAAATGATAAACAAATCTTTAATTATACATAGAACAATTAAAAAGTAATATTTAAGATGGAAAAATAGCTTGATACTACTGTTGGGCATACAAAATGGTTCACTCACTAAAGATTTAATCCAACAGGAAAACAAACTTATACATGAATTCAATATAGCCTCAAAGTACACAAAACCGTACTGACAGAATGTAAGGAAAAATAGAACAGCCTCACCAGTATAAGGAGAGATAATCACACACCTTTATCCATAATTGGTAAAATTCAAATAAAGTTATTAAGGTTATAGAATATTTGAATTATATACTTAGTCAACTTGAATACAAGACCATATATATAACCTCCCACTCAGCAACTGAAGGGTTGGAATGCTGATGAAAACCAGCCAGGCCATCGGGGAAGTTTCCAAACCTTTTTACAGAATTGGAAAAAAGGAAAGGGGCATGTTCTTTGATCATAATACAATTAAGTTGTAATAATGAAAATAAAGCTTGGATTTATTATTTAGCAAATACCTATGGGTCAAATGAGAAGGCAAAATACATTTTAGAAAATATTTGATCTAAACAATAACAATACTATATATCAGAACACCTAGCTAGAGCTAATAATGGAGTGGCATTTAGATCCACGTGTTAGAAAAAAAGAAATTCTTAAAATTACTGAATTAAGGCCCTTTTCAAGAAGTTTGAAAAAACAGCAAAATGGATCCAAAGAAGAATGACTTTAAAAAAGGAGAAAGTAATGACATAGAAAAGAGGCACAAGATAAAGATCACTAATAAAGACAAATTTCCTCCTTGAGAAAACAATTCCAGAAAAATTGAAAAACAGGAGGGCAGTGCAAGAGAGGGAAAGTGAGGAAACAGAAGGTAAAAAGCAACATAATATAAATACTATGAACAAGAAAACAAATGTTTTTTAGGGCAGCTCTGTTCACTAATTTTGAAAATCTACACAGAAATTAACAAATTACTAGAAAAAAACACAACTTAACCAAGAAGGAATCATGAAGAAGCAGTAAGCCTTCATAGGTTGGATGTCCCTTAAAAGTCTTAAAGCTTTCCCTACAATAAAACTCCAGGCTAGAAGATTTCACTGGTGATTCAATCAAATATTGGTTAAGGAACAAGGATTCCAATCTCACACAAAAAAAGCACATT